ACTGCCAGGTCAAGACATGCATGGGTTTGGCATTCCTTGTCGAGCTAGACCAGAAAGTCTCAGTTCAGAACATTACTTTTTCTCAGGAACTGTGTCGGTCAGATTGTCATTCGGTCATTTGGTCAGCCGTTCTGTTGGTCATTCGTACATCTTATTTGGTCCAGGCCTGGTAAGGAAGAGCTCTTTTTATAAGGATTCAATACAAATTAAATTTAGATCCAGAAATGTTTTTTTTTCTGATTCTTTCTGAGGTTGGCACGACATAAAAAGATACGATTAATTCAATGTGAGGCATTGACATTTCTAACCAACGGTTGGGTGAACGAAACTGTTTGGAGTGTGGGTTCTGGCTAAACTTTACACGAGGTATGTCACCAATAACTTTACAGTCCTAAACCTTCTTGACCTAAATGCTGCAGTTGGGGTTCTCGTATCTATACCTTATACATTGCACAATTAAGAAACCGTCCCAGATGTAGCTTCTTCGGTGGGTAAAATGCTAATGCAAATCTTTGACGACTTACCGATCAGCAGAGCTCCGAAGAGCAAAGCAAAGACAAGGCGTGTTGGTTGCATGGTACTTGAGCTGTACAGATGTGGTGTGGTATCCGCCTGCCCGAAATCCAATCATTATATACGATCTCCAAGCAATTTTTGTCACCAGTGCTCCGCCAACATAATGCACTTTTGATTGTATTGAAATTCGTTATTTGTTCCACCTCTTGCGTCTATTACCTTTATTTGACGAATCGACTCATGAGTAAATGACAAGTATTGTTCTGATCTTTTGGATATAAATGTTTTGGTTGAAAACAAGCTAAGAATAAAATGAAAGTTTCCAAAAGTGCATTCCCACAAGAGTGGGCACTTAAATTTGGAAAGAAAAAAAAAGATATCTACATAGACATCGGGTAACACGCCGTGAATTATTTTAAAAATGTCACCTGCAGTATGTGCACTTTGGGTTATTGGTTAATGGATTGGTACGTTGAATGGTTTGGCATATTTATTAGTTTGGCAATGTTTATTTGCTTGCTCTCTGTCAGTCAAACGATAATTTGAAAAATGATGGAAGGCAGACGATTATATTTGTAATCATTTTTTTCCGGTGGGGAACAAATATTGACAAGCTAAACTGCAGCTGAGGACAGTTTCTGTTTGAGCTTTACTTTGTCTTTGTGAAATCGATAGCGCTAAATTCTGGTTGATCCTGCAGAAGAAGAAAACAATGTTAGAGTTTGACTGTTCACAGGCGTAGCAAGATCATTTTTATTGGGAGGGGGGGGGGGGTTCGTGAAAAAGGGCAATCGCACATCTGTGCTGAAATGTAGACAGGTGTTTTTTTTGCCCTCCGTAAAATCAAAAAGTATGTGGGTGTGTTTGGGTGCGAGGTTGTGTAAATCGAGGACACGCATGTAAAGCATCATCGTGTAATTGAGGACAGGAGTCAAATCGAGGACGACCTCGATTAGGAAACGTGAACAAAAACCAATGGAAGCTGTTGCAAAAAAAAAAAAGAAAAAAAAAACATGTACAAAGTTTAAACAAAAGATCGATAATGAGGAACAATAGAAAATCCTCGATTTACACCATAAACAATCCTATGTTGATGTGTGGATAGGCCTACACCGCGTTATGGGATTTTTTTTTTTTTTAATAAGCAAATTACGACTGTCCACACAGCGTTTTTGGTCCCCACAAATACCTCGCATACAAACTAGTGTATATCCCCACAACTGCGGAACAAGATTGTGTGCGTGGGTCTGGGGGAAGGGTGGTCTCACTGGTACCATCTTCCAATGGGGCGCTTTTCAAACTGGATCATCTTGGGCACTATCGGACAATATGTGTCGCTTTTCAGGGCGGCACAATGCGAAATTCCTAAAAGGGCACTTGTACGAGGCCGCTGGCCAAAAAAAGGTACTTGTTTACACAAAAGGGCGCACTCTTTAGAAATATTGGTGAGGGGTTGCAAACGCCGTTGGAAAAAAAGGCACCTGGATTGAAAAGGGCAGTGTTTACAAAATATTGGCGGGTATTAAATTGGGGGGTAAGTCCCCCTTTAACCCCCTCCCCGCCTCCACGCTAGCTACGCCCCTGCGCTGTGGAATAAATAGAGGGCGCAAATATTGCAGCTGGGAAGATGATCCAGCTGTTAAAGTTGAACTATGTATGACTGTGTAAGATAGCATGACTGTTACGGATGGGAGAACCGACAACTACCACGGTTGCATTTGATTCGGTAACGAGATTTAGGATGACTTTGCAAAGTAATTCTAGTTACGTCATTAGTACATATCAAATTACATTTTAAATTTAAATGGGGTCTTCCGACAACTCTGTGCTATTATTACATAAAAGGGTGGATACATCACATAGAAGATCCCCTGAAAAGAAGCGACTAAACTGTAAAAAGAAAAATCTAAAAAAAAACATTAATAAAAACCCAATAAAATAAGCTTCTGTTGGTCTGGCAATACATTTTTTTTGTCGTAACTCATGTTACCAAGAGGACATAGAAGAAGAAAAAAAAACCTTGCATGTGACATTTTCCTCTTACCGTGACCCAGCCTGTTGCAAAATGGAAATAGGCCTGGCCACGAGTGTGCAATTTTGGAGGTAATGAGCTTCAGTTTTGCTGTATTTGAAACTATCTCTGGCAAATATCAATAAAGAGAGAAATATTGCTGTTCAATATTTACAACCTATGTAATTGAAATGCTTGAAAGTTGCTTTCATGGAGACACTGGTGATTTTGTGTACTTTTTCGGTAAGACAAGCGTGAGTCTCTTGATGATCGTGAGTGCAATTACCGGGATAAATGCACAAAGCTTGAACTGTGAGTCAAAAATAAACAATCACAATGCGCGCCCGCAGAGGCGATCCACAAATGCTTTAAATGGGCGCTAATTACCGGTCCCCATTTTTTTTTTTTTTTTTTTGGGGGGGGGGGGTGCTGGGAAGCGCTTTTTTTCCATAGCACACGCTGTTAATATATGCTGGCGGGCCCTATGTATATGCAATAGTATACTTTATAAAACTACCACATCGATCGAGTCACTGCTGTATAGTGTCATGGATACTACATTGGATTACAAATCCGATGTTGTGAGTTCGATTCCCATTTGATGCTTTTTGTGGTTTGGAGGATTTTTTTTCAAGGGGGAAAAAAAAGTCCGAGAACTGACTTGCAACTCGACGTACTTCGAAATACGCCCATTTGCATGTGTAAAAAAAAAGCGTACGGAAAAAAGCAAGGCCGGGAAACAGTCTAGACGCTACGTAGCCAGTCAAGGAAGCTGTTGTGCTGCCACAAATTGTCACCAAAGCCTGCGCTGAAACAATATTTGCTACAGGTTGAGTTTCACGAGCACTGCAGGACCATTTTAAAGGTGTTTGAAATAATTGATTCATTCTGTCTGACCCTAGACTTAATGAAAAGTCGATAGGTAATCGTATTTTGTCTGTGAACTTCAGTCGAACTCCATCGGCGCGGCTGGTATAAGACTAGTACGTAATCAGATGGGTTGCGACATATCTAACGACTTGACGGGTACGTTCTCTGAACGATATTCATATATCTGTGCAGCGCAATACATATGCAGTGATCTATGCGGTGAGATCCAATGGTGCACATCAATGCAAATGAGGATTCGTTCATTCCGTTACATGAGGAGTTCTTCTCAATACGTCGGGACATGTTTGCAGATCGGGCGACGTTTTAACGGCCAATTCCCTCACCTTGGTCAATAGTGTATAGAAATAGAATGTATCGTTGTGATAAACTTGATTTATCTGAGTCGTGTATGCCCTATAATGAATTTTTGAATGTGATACAACACAAAACACAAACCCTCGAAGTAATGAGAATGACCTTTCGTAGCGGCCTAGAATACACGCTGGAATCTGAACCAATCAGAGTGCTTGCATAGAATGTGTTAGCGACTCAAAATACTCCCATATGTTGTGTACAAAATAGAAAACGTTTTCGTCAAGTCGGTTATTGAACATCAATAGTCAGCATCATTTGTTCTAGGAACGAGGCTACGCCACTGATCTCTGTCTTACAAATTTTGATCAATGACTAACTTTTATGGGCTACGCATATTGCAGTGATATTTTGTGAGCTTTGTGAGCGTGGAACCAGTAACCGGTACCGTACGTACATGAACAATAACCGACTTGGCACCAAGTCTAGTCTGACCCCTTCTCTCGACTATTACGTACTCACAGTTTCTCTGTGCGTTATTTAAACTGAATGAAATGTTTGTACAAATGAATTTCAGACGTCTCATTGATGGAGAAAAATAATTTTAGCAAATTAACTCTGGGGTTGAATCGAAAGACTCACAAATAATGCGTGTCGAAGTAAGTTGTTTTATAAGTAAAACTTGGGTTACCAATTGATGTGCAGCTGTGCAGTGGACGGGGTTGATCTGTTTATTATCCCTGAGCATCACGCCAACCACAAGAAGAAAAGTTAATTTGCAACAAATAGTTTCGCCAGCTGCAGTAGAGTTTTATACTTTGTTTTTCATTTTGTTTCTTTTTCGTAACTGGCAGGCTTAAGCAAATAGATAACAGTTAACCAAAAATGCGGGCACAGCAAATTTCGTTTTAAATGTACATACATAATTCTGATCAACTGTTTATTTCAATATTTTCGTTTGAAACATAAACATTGACACAATTACACACAGAGAGACTAAAAGCTATAACTCGGATTTAAAGTAAAAGTAAGCACAAGTAGAGATGTGCAGATGTTTTGTTTGAAAGCTCCATTTAACAAAAAAGAAAAAAAACACGAGAGACACGTCAAACCAATATTTGTCATTTACCTTTTGGTCGAGTTTCCAAACAAGGAAGGGACACGCAAGATAAAAATGATGGATTCGAATGAAATCAAAAGTACACAATGTTGCTCAAACGTTCGTGACAAACTGTGCCAGAAATCTTATAAAACATTGAGCGGGTTTCGGTGTTTGACGCCAAGCCGCATCTACACGGAGCTCGCGAACTCACCATGCAAGCTACACGCCTTGTCTGCGCTGTGCTCTTCGGAGCTTTACTGATTGGTAAGTTGCCAACGAATATGGTTTAGTTTACAACTGGCTGCTAACACGTAGGACATTTTTTCAGCCTTATAATTGTACAGTAATAGTGAGAAGGGACATCCTCTTAAGTATTTACTCAGCCGTGTGGTTGCAAAGTCCTGAGCTTCGCCGTTGTTAAAAAGAGTTATTCCGAAAACGTACTTGGACTCTATAACAGAACAGACATTCATGCACCCTTAAAATTTAGCTTTTAGAGCGTTGTGTTTCTCAGAAAATATGCTCAGTATGATTGAAATGTTAAACCATTAAGGAAGAATTGAAATTCTAAACTTCATGGCAGTGAAAAATAATAGCCGTCATCGATGCCGAAACGTCAATACTGCTTATGGTATGTTGACCGTACTTTATTGGTTGGGAAGATCAATGTATATATCTAACTTTCTAGGAATCCCTCAGGATGTTATTTCACGAGTAGTTGAACACATATATCATCTAGGTATATTCCGAACTTCAGCTTAATATGTTGTTGCAAACGCTTGTGTTACAACTGGAACTCAGGGTAACTTTTGCAGGTTTTTTGTTCTTAAGCAAATCATTGCTGACATGTAGAAATGTTGTTTTGTCCGGACACCAGGCCTCGTTAAATCAATAGGTATGTGTGTGGGGAGGGGGAGAGGCTCGTACCATACTTTCAAGGGGGGGGGGGGGGGGCGCTGTTCAAACCCGACGATTATATTTTGAAGAATAGTGTACAAATAACATCAGTGATACAGTGATGCGTGACTTAAATGAAATGAAATTTATAGGGGACGAGGCTAAGGCCGTTAAAGTATGCGCACAACCAAAGACAATCAAAACTAGAAATGTGTTTGTGGACAAACACAAGCTGTTTCGGATATTTGAAATACTCTGTGCACGTGATGAACACTTGATGAAGTCACTTCGAGTGTCATCTGCCAAGTGAAAAGTCAATCAGACATATAGTGCCAAAGTATGATTTGAAGAAAAACGTGTACAAACCTTATGGGAAAAAATGCATCTTTAATGTGAAGTAACCTTACACCTGATGATGTCACGATCACGAATTTCTTCTAGGACCATCTGTAGGTGGTAGTCTAAGTGTGTACCAAGTCTAACGTCGATCAGATTTACGAAAGTGCCAAAGTAGAATGTTTTAAACGTGTACAAACCCTATGGGGAAAAATGCATCTTTAATGTGACGTAATCCAACACCTGATGACGTCAAGATCACAAATTTCTCCTAGGACCATCTGTGGGTGGTATTCTATGTGTGTACCAAGTCTGACGTCGATCGGATTTACAGAAGTGCCAAAGTGGAGTGTTTTATAACGTGTACAAACCCTATGGATAAAAATGCGTCTTTAATGTGACGTAACCCAACACCAGATGACGTCACGATCACGAATTTCTTCTAGGACCATCTGTGGGTGGTGGTCTAAGTATGTATCAAGTCTGAGGTCGATCGGATTTACGAAGAGGCCAAAGTGGAGTGTTTTAAAACGTGTACAAAACATATGTGGAAAAATGCATCTTTAATGTGACGTAACCCGACACCTGATGACGTCACGGTCACGAATTTCTTCTAGGACCATCTGTGGGTGGTGGTCTGAGTATGTATCAAGTCTGAAATCAATCGGATTTGAAAAAGTGGCAAAGTGGACTGGTGGAAGAAACGTGTGTTAAACCTATGGAGAAAAAGTCTGAAAAAGGAGAAAAAAAAAAAAAAGAAAAAAAAAGAAAAAAAAAAATCTTAACGAAAACAATAGCTGTTTCGGTGAGTCACCGAAACAGCTAATAAGATTCCCGGTTTTTGTAGTTATTTTCAGAACAGTTGGACGGATGCGTTTTGGGAACACGCAGTGCAGAAGATGGTTAACTTGGTCATTTCATTTTGGTTTTCGATTCAATTACATATATTTTACTCGAACCGTTTGCTTTATCAGGTATAAGAAGTTTAGGAATTCAAAATATAGCTGAAATGACATGTATTGTTATTATTACCGAAAATTAAATGAAATTTGGAAGTATTTTTATTCCTTGGCTTTTTGTTTCCAATATATGGTGAGTAAAAAAAAATGAACTCTAAATATCGCGACCCAAGATTGCTTTAGCGAAGATCTGCATGTAGCACTTTCACAATCTAAGATATGAAAGCCCAATTTCTAAGCTTTCCTTCGGTACAACAATCATTGTAAGTGTTTTTTTTTCAACAAAGCGAAAACAAATCACATAGGGATGTGTGTAAGTTGTTCTCTTTTTATTGCAAGAACCCACACCTTTTCTGTGATCCGTGGACAGAACTTCAACACGGCGGGTGTGTGTAAATTTGAGTAACTTGAAAAGTACATGATTGATTTGAACAATTGTGATACTAAAAGAATACTCATGAATTTGGCTTTCAAATCCTGGATTTGAAGTGCTACATGCAAAAATTCGTTAAAACAAAAGTTCTGACACTCGTCTATTTCGTATTTTGGAGATTCTTCTTTGACAAAAAGGGAAACAGCAATTGAGGAGATTATAAGAAGCTTTTGTTATCGGTACAGAAAGTGTATGCTAAAATGTTCTCAATGAAAATTATTATTAAAATGGTTATGATTTGATTGTCATTATGCAGTGCCGATATTGCATTGCAATACACCCTAGATACATCGCTCAGAACTAATTTGTCGGACAACGTAACAGTTTACTTGTAATTTGGTAGCAAGACGACTACAAATCAAACTGCCAACCAGTTCAACTTTTGTGTCATTATGTTTCAGGGTTATGCATGGCAAAACCATCAAAGAGGGCGCTCAAGTTGCGTCATCAAAGCCGCCAAGGTAATTTAGGTTTTCCCGGTCAATTTCCGATTTTTTTTTTCTGACCAGTTTCATTTTCAGACTTTCAATTTCGTGTGGGTTTTACGCATCTGGTCATTTGACATACGGACATATAGGAAGTCTTGAAAAGATGATAAATGTGTTTGGCAATTAATGAAATGATTGCCAATTGAATGAACAATACGATACAATTAATCTAAGTGAAGCGAAAATACGAAAGAATGGGCCATGCCCCCATGAAAAAAAAGGTCTCAAAAACTCAGCCACTACGTAAACCATTATCTTTAACAAAAAAAATGGTTAAAGTGGTCATAACTTGCCTCAGATATAGCACGAAAAAGTACCCGTAAGTACTTTTTAGGGGCCCATGCCGTGAATTTGTGGGCCCACTTTTGTAGGACCATTTTCTTTTTTTGTTTTCGCACCAACCCCCCCCCCAAAAAAAAGAAGAAGACAAAAGAAAAAAAAAACTGTGTTTTTGACCTGGCCTTGCGGAGGCCGAACGGCTCTCGTTTTCACACCGACGGAAGGTGCATTGTTTTCTTGACATGTACACCTTTTGGGGGGTTCCATCCCCAGTTTGAAAAGCGTTCCGCCACCCCTGTCAATGCACAATGAGTATCAACCTGTATTTTCTGTTTTTTTTAAATCAGTTTCAGACTGCAGCTCCGACCAGTTCACCTGCAACGATGGATGGTGCATCCCTGACTATTGGCAATGTGACGGCATGAATGACTGCAGTGGTGGAGAGGACGAGTTCAACTGCCCCTCAAGTAAGAATAAATTTTTAAAAAATTACAATGGTCTGTTTCATTAATTACCTCTGTAAAATCAAAAAGCGGGGGGGGGGGGGGAGCTCTTCGAAACTGACCATTCTATGCATACTACATATTATATGGACATTATCACGGCGCATTGTAACTGTTGTTGAAATGGTTTTCTTTGGTGGGATTTATGTCAGAAGAACTCTATAAACATGTATTTAAATCATTGCTCAACAAAAGAATTGTCAAATAAATCCGCCCCCGCTTGATACGCCACTGATTAGGGCCCTATCCGTTTTTTTTTTTCTGGTTTAAGACCCCCCGCCATCCTGCAGCTCAGACCAGTTCGCCTGCAACAATGGATGGTGCATCCCTGGCTATTGGCAATGTGACAACTATGATGACTGCATGGATGGAGAGGACGAGTTGAACTGCCCCACTATGGGTAAGAATAAAACAAAAATGTTGGTCAACAGTGTCCTACATGAAAACACATGCAAAGGAAAAATAATATACACGTCAAAAACGGCAGAGTTCTCGTGCAAAACGCAATACAATTATAAGTTGGGCATATATCAATTGTCCTCGTCTCTGCCTCCTAGTGGCGCACTGTAATGCGAAGCGCTCGGTAGGCCATTATCCGCGACTAGGCCCCAAGCCGTTTGTATATATACTTGTTTTTGCCAAGCACAGATTTATTCCAAGCACAGATTTATTTTCAACATTGTCACCTCATGTTTTGTGAAAAAAAAACCTCATGCCATGAGCCAATTTCACGGCGCTGCTCACCACAACAAATTGCTTTGCGCAAAAAAAGTCTGGCTTATAAAAGCAGGTTACCACTACCAGCCAAAACTCAATGTGATGTATATTGCTGGTGAATAGTATTCAGCTGTTGTTTGCTATAGCATGAAATTCACGTGGAGTTAAGGATGGCAAACTTCTATAAGCCAGACTTTTTTATGCTAAGCATTTTTTTTGCTGAGCAGCGCCGTGAAATGGGGCCCATGTCTACTGCATATACTCCGCGCGCCTAGTGCTTAAATCTCTCCATTTCATTGAGATTTGCGTACTGTGCGATGTGGCGCAGAACGCATTGGTGCAGCAAACATGTGGTTTACACCGATAGGTGTTTCATCAAAAACCTAACACAACCGATGTGACGGGCTCTCAACCAATTCCAATTGGTGAACTGCCTTAGACGCTGTTGATGTTTGATGACCAACCAATGTAGTTGATGCAGAATGTGTATCATGTTTTTTTCCTGGTTTGAGGCCTTTGTCTGGGAACTAGACTACACCAACCCCTGCAGTCAATAAAAAATGATTATTGGGCTTGTTGTTTCTTGCTTATGCCCCAGTGTCTTTTTTTTTTTGGTATAAGCGCCACCTCCACCCTGCAGCTCAGACCAGTTTACCTGCAACAATGGATGGTGCATCCCCGCTTCCTGGCAATGCGACTACATGAATGACTGCATGGATGGAGAGGACGAGTTCAACTGCCCCACTGGAAGTAAGAATGAAGAAGTTTTTTGTCAGAATTGTCCGACATAAAAGCACATGCACAGGATAACAATAAACACGTCCAAACTGCAGAGTTCTTGTGCAAAACCGATTACAATTATAAAGTTCACATTATCAATTGTTCCTTTCTCTGCCTCCTGGTGGCGCCCTGTAATGGGAATCGCTCAGAAGCCTTTATCCGCGATCAGCCCCCAAGCCGATTCTACACGTTCTTGCTTCGGCCAAGCACAGATAAATTCCCGTTAGTACTTACCTGTCTTTCAAAAGTGAAAACAAGTCCAAAATTCACACTTTTCAAACTGTTTCTTTTTCCCAAACATTATTTCCTCAGGTTTGTGAAACACCCCTAGTGCCATGTCTTTTGCATATTCCTCTCGAGTATAGTGCTAAAAAAATCGTTTAATTGAGATTTGCGCACTCGTGGTGAATGCTGCGCAATGTGGCGCAGAGCAAACTTGTGCGGAAAACAAATGCGCTTTAAACCAGTAGGTGTTTCATCAACCGTTTAACACGACCCACACAACGGGCTCCCAAACGATACCAATAGGTAAACTGTATTATTATGTATAATGAGTTTTTGACCAGCCGATGTGAACTAGGCTACACCAACCACTGTAGTCGATGCAAAATGAATATCGGGCTGTTATTTTGATTTGAGGCCCAGGTTGCAGCTCCGGCCAGTTTACCTGCAACGATGGATGGTGCATCCCTGGCTATTGGCAATGCGATAACTGGGATGACTGCAGTGGTGGAGAAGATGAGTTCAACTGCCCAACTGCAGGTGAGGATAAAGCACTGTTATGCGAATTGCTCGGTACCTTGCTCTCAGCAAGCGTTAGGATTGAAGTGGCTAGCGCAGCCCTCTTTTCGATCCATTGCATTTTCAATCACCTGACCAATAAGATTGGTCAGAAACAGTCAGAATCATCTGATCAGGGAATCAGACTACACCAACCACTGAGTCGATGCAAAATGATTATCAGGTTTTTTTCTCCCGGTTTTAGCCCCACCTCTACCCTGCAGCTCAGACCAGTTCACCTGCAACAATGGATGGTGCATCCCCGCCTCCTGGCAATGTGACTACATGAATGACTGCATGGATGGAGAGGACGAGTTCAACTGCCCCACTGGAAGTAAGAATTAAGAAGTGTTTTTGTCAGAATTGTCCGACATAAAAGCACATGCACAGGATAACAACAAACACGTCCAAACTGCAGAGTTCTTGTGCAAAACCGATTACAGTTATAAAGAGCGCATTATCAATTGTTCCTTTCTCTGCCTCCTGGTGGCGCCCTGTAATGGGAATCGCTCAGAAGCCTTTATCCGCGATCAGCCCCCAAACCGATTCTACACGTTCTTGCTTCGGCCAAGCACAGATAAATTCCCGTTAGTACTTACCTGTCTGTCAAAAGTGAAAACAAGTCCAAAATTCACACTTTTCAAACTGTTTCTTTTTCCCAAACATTATTTCCTCAGGTTTGTGAAACACCCCTAGTGCCATGTCTTTTGCACATTCCTCTCGAGTATAGTGCTAAAAAAATCGTTTAATTGAGATTGGCGCACTCGTGGTGAATGCTGCGCAATGTGGCGCAGAGCAAACTTGTGCGGAAAACAAATGTGCTTTAAACCAGTAGGTGTTTCATCAACCGTTTAACACGACCCACACAACGGGCTCCCAAACGATACCAATAGGTAAACTGTATTATTATGTATAATGATTTTTTGACCAGCCGATGTGAACTAGGCTACACCAACCACTGTAGTCGATGCAAAATGAATATCGGGCTGTTATTTTGATTTTGAGGCCCAGGTTGCAGCTCCGGCCAGTTCACCTGCAACGATGGATGGTGCATCCCTGGCTATTGGCAATGCGATAACTGGGATGACTGCAGTGGTGGAGAAGATGAGTTCAACTGCCCAACTGCAGGTGAGAATAAAGCACTGTAATGCTAATTGGTCGGTACGTTTTGCTCTCAGCAAGCGTTGGGATTGAAGCGGCTAGCGCACCCCTCTTTTCGATCCATTGCATTTTCAATCACCTGACCAATAAGATTGGTCAGAAACAGTCAGAATCATCTGATCAGGGAATCAGACTACACCAACCACTGAGTCGATGCAAAATGATTATCAGGTTTTTTTCTCCCGGTTTTAGCCCCACCTCTACCCTGCAGCTCAGACCAGTTCACCTGCAACAATGGATGGTGCATCCCCGCCTCCTGGCAATGTGACTACATGAATGACTGCATGGGTGGAGAGGACGAGTTCAACTGCCCCACTGGAAGTAAGAATAACGACGTGTTTTTTTGTCACCATTGTCCCACATGATATGAAAGCACATGCAAATGATTATAATAAACACCTCCAAACTGGAGAGTTCTCGTGCAAAACGGAATAGAGCTTCTAGTGCGCATTATTAATTGTTCCCTTCTCTGCCTCCTGGTGGCGCCCTGTAATGGAAATAGCTCAGTAGTTATTATCCGCAACCCTCCCCATAGCCTTTTTTTTTCTGATATGTTCCCGTTCATACATACCTTAATGTCAAAAGTCAAAAAGTAAAGCAAAAGTTTAGGGTCCCATAGCCATTACTGGCCGTAGGGGCAGTGGGATGTTAGAGGTCCACTGTGTCTTGGGCACGGCATAATGAGTGGCGGTGCCCAGTCCTCTCCTCTCGCCGTCTTACCTTCCCTGAACGGTTCAGTTAGCCATTTTACTATCGGGTCGTGAGAGAGAGTTTTCCAGTCTTAGGTCCGACTGCGATTCGAACCGCCAACCTTCCACTCCATAGCTCCACTCTCTAACCGCTCGGCTACGCGTACGCGACTCCTCAAAGATCAAAAAGAGGTCTGAAATTCACACTTTTAAACCACTTTTTTTCCAACATTGTTCCTCATGTTTTAAGAAACACCCCTATTGCCATGTATATTGCAAATATATCTCTCGCGCGTAGTGCTTAAGAAAATCATTTTGTTGGGATCGGCGTGCCCGTTGTGCGTGCTGCGCAATGTGGCGTAGAGACAAGTTGTGCTGGAAAAAAATGTGTTTCCCCATCAATGTCAATATGTGTCATATTATGTATTAAGTAAGAGTTGATGACCAACCGATGTAGTTGATGCAAAATCAGTATCAGGCTTGATTAGGTTAAAGGCCGGGCTCCTGGCAATGTGACTACATGCCTGACTGCATGGATGGAGAGGACGAGTTGAACTGCCCCACTGGAAGTAAGAATACAGAAGTTTTTTGTCAACATTGCACCACATGAAAGCACAGGCAAAGGATAATAAACACGTCCAAACTGCGGAGTTCTTGTGCAAAGCGGAATACATGTATAAAGTGCGCATTATCAATTGTTGCCTTCTTTGCCTCCTGGTGGCGCCCTGTAATGGGAATCGCTCACTAGCCTTAGCTATTATCCCCGATCAGCCCCTGGCCGATTTTATACTTGTTTCGGCTAAGCACGGATATATTCCTGTTCATGCATATGTTTCTGTCAAAAATCAAAACAAGTCCAAAATACACTATTTCAAACACTTTTCAACATTATACCTCATGTTTTAAGAAACAGCTCTAGTGTCAAGTGTATTGCATATACCTCTCGCAGGTAGTGTTAAAAAAATATCATATTATTGAGATTGGCGCGCCCGTGGTGCGTGCTGCACAATGTGACGAAGAGCAAAGTTGTGCAGAAAAAAATGTGTTTAAAACGGTGTGTATTCAACCTTTCATAACACGACTTACATGAGGGGCTCTCCATCAATACCAATAGATAGACTGTCCTATTATGTATTTTGAGTGGATGACCAGCCGATGTAGTTGATGCAAAAGCAGTATCAGGCTTTTTTACATGTTAAAGGTGTGGGTCTGGGAACTAGACCACACCAACCACATGTAGACCATGCAAATTGAATATCGGGCTTTTATTTTGATTTGAGGCCCAGGCTGCAGCTTCGACCAGTTCACCTGCAACGATGGATGGTGCATCCCCGGCTATTGGCAATGCGATAACTATGATGACTGCAGTGGTGGAGAGGACGAGTTCAACTGCCCAACTGCAGGTAAGAATAAAGCAAAATAACGTCAACATTGTCCCACGTGAAGGCACCTTCAAAGGCAAAATGAAAAACACATGGAAACTGCCGATGGTGCAATTCCGGCTCCTGGCAATGTGATTACATGGACGATTGCAATGGTGGTGAGGACGAGTTGAACTATTATTGTTATCATTTTTATTTTTTTTTGTATAAGCGCCACTTCCACCATGCAGCTCAGACCAGTTCACCTGCAACAATGGATGGTGCATCCCTGGCTATTGGCAATGCGACAACATAGATGACTGCAGTGGTGCAGAGGACGAGTTGAACTGCCCCACTTCAAGTAAGAATCCTATATTAAAACATCCTACGTTGTCTGTCTGTCTTTCTGTCTGTCTGTCTGTCTGATGTCTGTCACGGAAGTGGTGGTCACGCAACCGGAGGTGTGAGGTCACACATGATGCTCGTCATAGGCGTAGCCAGCGGGTGGGGGGGGGGGGATTTCCCAATGTTTTGTAAAGACTGTGTTTTTCCATTGAAATGCCCTTTTTTTTCAAGGGGCTTACCCGGCCCCTCCCCCAATAATATGTAAAAAGTGCCCTTTTTTTACGAAGTGCCCTTTTTTTCTGAGCAAGTGCCCTTTTAAAAAAAGAAGTGGTGCCCTTTTTTGTGGCATCTGCCGTTTTTTGTGCCTTTTTCAGAATGTCGTACATGTATCGCCCTGAAAAGCACCATATAATGGCCCTTTGTGTGCATAATTGTCGGGTTTGAACAGCGCCTCCATCGACAGATAGTACTCTACCCTGCAAATAAGAGGCATGCACATTCAAATTCATTAGACCTTTCAACCCGATATTTTGCAGAATTGGTTTTGTTTGAACCGGTCCACCTTTGATAAACATCTGAACTCTTATTCGTCTGGTTTAAGGTGAAGGCTGCAGCTCATATCAGTTCACCTGCAACGATGGATCATGTATCCCCAGCTATTGGCAGTGTGACAACTGGGACGATTGCAGTGAAGGAGAGGACGAGGCTGATTGCAGTAAGTGCAAAGAGTTCATAATCGTCGTGTACAGGCTGAGTAAAAATCGAGATCCAAATTTCGGGCCTGGTACTATTGTTTTAGTGAAGTTCTGCATAAAGCACCTTCAAAAGCTAGGATATGAAAGCCAAATTCATAAGCTTTAGTTTAGTACAAAAATCATTCAAATCACATGTAATTTCAAACACAAGCACCGTTTTAAAGTTCTTTTCACGGATCACAAAAAAACACGTTCTTTCAGCAAAACGAAAACAATTCACATACATCCCCGTGTGAACTATTTCGTTTTGCTGAAAGAACACTTTTTTGTGATCCGTGGACAGAACTTTAAAACGGTGGTTGTGTTTTAAAATGCCGTAACTGAAAAAGTACATAAGTGGTTTGAATAATTCTTGTACTAAAAAAAGCTTATGAATTCGGCTTTCATATCCAATATTTTGAAAGTGCTACATGCAGAGCTTCACTAAAACAATGGTCCTGACATTTGGGTTTCGTTTCGTGTTTTTTTTTTTTTTACTCACCCTGTATATTAAGTTTACTGATGCGATGCCAAGATGTCCACACAATGTATAGGGTGTTGAGACACTTGTGTGAACTTGCACGGTCCACGCAGTGCATTACATTTTCCAAAAACCAGTTTTTGAGACAGTTTTGATTAGGGTTAACAGTCGCAAAATGAAGTACAACATCGTGAAAAGGGAACCAAGGTCAAGAATTCACTTTCAAAAACATTCCCAGTACGACGAGCAACATTTTCAAACATAGCATTTCTTAACTTCGTGAAAACTAAGGATTGTTCGCATAGTAAAACCAAGGACGGATCAGGGGCCAACAGGGGCCATGCCCCCCCCCCCCCCAAAAAAAAAACAACAACAACAAAGAACTCATTTCAGGCACAGCGTACACCACCATCTTTTGCTAAAAAACAAATGGTTAAAGTGGTCCGACATTTCCTCAGATCGAACCACAGAGTATCTAGCATCCAAAATGTGTTGTTGCCAACCCCCACCAAAAAAATATGTTCTGGATGCGCCCTTAAAGGGAATGTACATCATTGGTTTTTGCTGTAATTTTCAGAAATGAACTATTTGAGGGGTTAGTATAATAGATCAAATATTGTTACACTGACATTTTTTAAGTTTTGTGTTCGAAAAGGTTGGAAAAACCAAGAAAATCAAAAATGTTCAAGTTGTCTGGTTCCCCGACTCCACAAAAGATAAAATGGATCAATTTATAGATGATGGAAAATTGTAAGGCAATGGAACCAATCTAGCTGGCCTGCACCCGTTCATGAACATGTAACCAATAGCAAACAAATTTTGGACTGTAAAAAAATGGTCAATTTGGAGCAGTAGTTGAAAAATAGTTAGGTTTTTCCAACGCTGGTCGGCCGACCACCGTTGGAAATGTATACAAAAATACCATTTTCTTGAAAATGACTTCACACCAGGTGCCATAATTTTACAAGATGCTTGAGACTGTCATTAACCAACATCCTAGTAAGGTATTTCGTAAAAACTTGGTAGTTTTATTTTTCGATGTTTGCAAATGTTGTATATTCCCTTTAAGAGAAACCAGCAAATGTTTGTTACATTGTTTAATGTTTAGCTCTTCTAATGCCGGTTGATCGACTTGCTCCTATATATCATTTCAGCCGGCTCCTCTGCCATGTATGCTACTCCCGGCTATAACTCGGGTCCTTGTCCGATGGGTGAGTTTTCCTGCCTTTACAGCGAAGAGTGCATCGGTTTTGCCGACTTGTGCGATAGCGAGATGGACTGCAGCGGTGGCGAAGACGAGAATAACATAATCTGCTGTAAGAACACTTCGAATCTTTTTTTTTTCAATAGCTTTATTACATGCGGAAAGGAGGTCTGGTTTTCATCGGATTTGGTTAGTTTGTTGGTTGGTTATTTGTTGGTCTGTCTGTCTGTTAACACGATGACTCAAAGGTTTACCACAGATTTACATGCGATTTGTTTCAGGGGTCGTCCTTGGTACAAGTACCAATCGAATGAAAGAAGAACCCCTTAAATCTGTTCAATAAATGTATTGCCTCCGCCAGGGAGGTTATCTTTTCATCGGATAGGGTTGGTTTGCTGGTTGCTTTGTCTGTTAACAAGATAACTCAAAAAGCTCTAAACTGATTTGCATGAAATTTGTTTTAGCGGTGGTCCGTACAAGTACAAAAAGTACCTATAGTTACAGACCGATATTCTGAAGGTTCGATAGTCCGAAGGTTCTTTAGTCCGAATGGTTCTTAGTTCGCAGGTTCGTTAGTGCACAGTTTCAAAAGTCGGAAAAAAATGAACCTTCGAAAAAGTGAACCTAATTTTTGTTTTGGACTATTGAACCTCCGGACTCATTTGAAAGTTTAAATCGTTCACGGCAATTCATACCGATTGACAAAAGTGTTCCTGGGCTATACAGAACCAAGATGGCACCGCCCCCTTATGCTTACGCCACTTTATTGTATAAAGAGTTTAATAGCGTGGCAGATCGTGACCCTTGTCCTGATAGGGTTAAGTCTCCATTGATACACACACTAATAGTTCTATCCTACAACTAAAACCTTTTCATAAGGGCCACGATATTCGGTTGCATCCAGTTGACCAAATTTATGAAGGAGTCACCTTGCTTTTTGTTTTTTGATTTTTTTTTTCAGTGGAAATAGTCACATTTCACTGGCGTTTTCTACTTCTAATAGGGATTACCCTGAAAGGCATTTCACAAAAATGTCTCTGCCCAAACTGACTCCAACTTTATTGTGTTTATAGATATCTTTGGTGGCAATTCGAAGAGGGCTCCTAAGAAGAGATGGGAGAAACTGTCCCGAAAAGTAGAGCAGAAGAAGAGAGCCATGCGCAAGTAAACTAACTGGAGGTAAGAAGCTCGAATAGAGTCTCTGTGATCAAAGAATGCAGTGATTGAATGGAAATATCTGCTAGTCTGGCAATGTACAGGGTGAGTAAAAACAAAAGCATCCCAAATGGCAGGACCAGTATTTCAACGAAGTTTAGACTGTTTCACTTTCAAACTCTAGGATATGAAAGCCCAGTCAATATAGCTTTCCTTTAGTACAATACATATTCAGATCTCTTCGTACTTTTCAATTTGCCAAAAGGTAAGTGTTCTTTCAGCAAAACGAAAACAATTCTCAGAGGAAAAGTATGTGATTATTGTTTCGTTTTGCTGAATGAACACGTCCTTTCTTTGATCAGAAATTACCGTAGTTGTCTGCGCGCGAGTCATATTGGACGTCTTCGTTTGCAGTCTATAGTAAATAAACTGTCATAAGACCCAAGTAATAAAAACGCCCACTTCCGAAATCCAGGGAAAATACTCACAACTCTTCAAGGTGTTTGAGGCACATATCATATTTATGACTCTTCCATCGTCTTTTATTTTCTGCTCAATGTTTTGGGGTATAGCCGATGTTTTTCTTGGAGCAAAACATGATATTGACCGTGGAAGACACCGCAGAACATGCACTTTTAGCATTATGCAATGTGCATGTACGGTACGGTCGATCGAGCACGCTACTATAACGTCCAAAACGGTGGCTCTCACATGATAGTCTCACGTGGGTGCTAAATCCAAATAAAGTCTCCTCACGGAGAATATCATGTATTTATTTTTGCATGGTTTAGGTTTCAAAGAATTTATGTTGGAATTTCTACAACAACTTACATCCATGCTTGCATTCCAAAGCCTATTAACGCCGTTTATTTGTTGGTTTGTTTTTCTTGCTGTCAAAAGGTTCGTGCCACTTGGAAAAGACGACAATGGTACGGGTTCCGACAACGGACAACTGCATATTTCGTTATCATTAGCAAGCCGTAGTTAGCAATATATTTAGACTTTCTGTATTTGTTTGCTGTTAATGGTTGATTTCCTTTTATGATTGCCGCGTTTATCGTTGAGTGAAACGATTAACCACCTTCCGAATCTGAATCAATTTTTAATCTACTAGCTTGTACAAAAACAAACTGACCTCATGGTCATGCCAACGGTTAACTAATTTGGAAAAAAAAATGAATGCAAGCAATCAGCACATGCTTAAAAGAAATAATCCACCTCTAGATGTGCCAAAGTTGCAGAAAATCTCACTAAACAACTTTTAGCAAGTTTAGTTCCCCTAATCCGTCAGGAAATTTAAAATGGTTCATGTTTTCAATTACCATTATTCTCAGTGGTCTTGATGATGAGAAAAAAATATCGATAAATTTAGACATATATTTAAAAAAAAAAATAGTTCCAAATAAAAAAAAAACATGTCTTCTAAACGCCACTAAATGTTTGTAATAATTATGCAAGTTTATTTAGAAATCTCCGGAGACAAATTGGATTATTCGGCACACTCGTGTTACAAACGTCTTTGATTTATTTGCAAACAGTTGTATCACGCTTTAGGCCAAAATCTGGGATCTTAAATTATGTCTTTTCTCTTTTGCGTTGTAACCTTTAAAGAAATGCAATAGTTAGTCAATAAAATAGCTTGGCAGCTAATTAATAAGCACTTTTGTCTGCCTCATTGACGCATTTTTATTAGAAAGGAAATTCCAGAACGGCTTAATCTGTACTCTCTTCGTGATATGCAGAATAGGCATTCCTGCATATCGTAACATTCTTCTTCCAAGTTCTGCGCCAGCTTCATAATGTTGAAGACTAAGGCAAAATGTTGGGTGCGCAAATCTGTGGATGGAGTGCGTAGCCAAATGGTTTGTGACCAAATGGTTCTCGATTATTGTACAGGACTGTGAGATCATAGTTCTGTGCAGTTTTGATGAAATTGGGGCCCAAACAAAGGTTAATGTTTTACGACCAAGCAGATGGGAATTCGATCGTTACGCAATGCAGTACGCCACCAAGAATTTGCCACGGACGGTCCAAGTTTGCGGTCGGCAAAGCACGGCCAATTTGTTAAAAGAGTATCAGAAGACATTTGAGTTAATTTGTTTCGGATTGGGACAAAGCTTTAAGCCGCCTTACACAAAAAAATTCATACTGATAAAAAGGAAAAGAAAATGGCAAACAGATACTCAAATCATACGCTTAAGAAACTACTGACAGGAAAGACTAGCAATTTCAAATAGCCCGCGCTGTGAATTTGTCGACCGTCTCACACAATGCCCTGGGAAAAATCAACTCTCCGTGGGAAACCCTTGGTGGTGCACTGTGAATGAAACGCCCGAACTGACAAGTCTAAATAAAAGGAGCAGACAATTAATTTCGTTGAAAGGCAGAGTAGATCACTCAAAATATGTGCAGTGTTTTCATTTGAACTAACATTAATAGGGCTCCAAAGCCAAGGACGGTGTCTAATTACTTAAGCTGATGAAGCTTGAGCTCTGTGGATGCTGTATATTTCGAGAAAACAAATACAAATACACACAATCTGTCGTATCTCGATTTCTATTTGAAGGTTGTTCAGTCATATATCGCATTGCGCCCTCTCGTGGTGACACAATCCCAAAATAAGCATTGAGTCATTTCGGGACCTGATTCTCATTCGGCCGGTATTTGTACCTTTCACAGATTCAACAAACTGCAAACCAACGACAACAGACAAACGCATGGGAGTGAATTCACAGACATTTCCAAATATGTGTCACTTGACACGTCTTTTGAAATGACTTTCTTTCGTTGTTTTCTTAAACGCTTGTTTTCTTGTACACTGGCTGAGTACTGACGTTTAACTACAATATTATATTACAATACAGTGATGAATATGTCTGTCCCGCAAATAACACGATTTCTGTTACCAGAATATTTCTGGGTTTTTATCGGGTGGTTGCCCTCCCACGTGATATACATCAGAAGCATAGCCGGGTGTATTTTTTTCAGCATTCATTGTGTATTAACTAATCACCGTCGGTGAAGGGCAAAACCTAATTTGGTTTACTTAACCCCGAAGCAAGATTCCATCTTATGAATAGCACATTTCACACACCCTAACATGAATATTTTGGCCCTCCGTGTGGATTGCAAACACTAAGGTTGTCGTAGTGTTTCCGTTCAATTAAACCTATTCCAAGCAACGAAACTATTTTATGAAAATGAGCATGGGCTCGAACCAAAGATCTTGCGATACATAGTTCATTCCACTATCCACTAGGGCATTGTGGCAGCACGACGAAAGCCGTTCTTTGAAATGCCCTACGCATGACTGAGTGATAGCAGTGGTGTAACGTCATCGTTATATTCTTATGAATAATCATGTCCATTGACGATGTGTGCTGCAAAGAGAAACACCCCTGTCCGGGCCATGCTTCCTACAACAACGAGAGAATGGACAGCCGTATATAGTATCGGTCTTGTCCGTTCAAAGCCCACAGGGGTAAACGTATTAAAAGTTGCCTTTGCGCAGGAAGCACAAAGTTCACATCATGCAAATCATTTCTTTTCTTTCTTTTTTGAGTGATGTCGCAATAATAGCAGGCACTGCGTACAACACCATCTTTTCCTCCGAAACAAATTGGTTAAAGTGGTCAGAAATTGCCTCAGATCGCACCACAGAGCATCTAGAATCACAAAAAGAAAAAAAAATCAGGGTCCTTAAGCGGGCCCTGAACCCAACGCCGTAGATTTTGGACCCACTTTTTGGGGGAACAATTTCGTTTGTCCCCTCCCCCCCCCAAAAAAAAAGTGTTCTGAATCCGCCCTTGGGGAAAATGGGAGCCACACGTTTTACGAAAATTCTTCCCCCCCCCCCCAAAAAAAAGAACATGTATATCATTCAAAATCAGTTGGTGGATACAATAATTTATATCGTAAAAATGTAAACAAACAAAAATAGTCAGTAAGAACCAGACCTTTCATTATAATAAATAATAATAATTATTATTTCTTCTAATGCTATAATAGGGCGACTTTCCAATAGACTTGTGCACAAACCTAAACTGTCACCGAACCCAAGTTTAACTTTCTCCACGAAATTCGGTATTTTAACTTCTTGGACCACGAGGAATCAATCTAGTTGGTTTGCGTTCGGGAAACGTTCGAAGACGACTCCTAAGAAGAGATGGGAGAAAATGGCCCGAAAACTGCAGTAGAAGAAGCGAGCCATGCGCAAGTAAACTCACTAGAGGTAAAGAAACTTGGATGAAGTCTCGATTTTATTGCAACAAGGAAATGGAATTATCAAGTTAGTCTGGGGAACTGAAATGAGGGGCATTGATACCCAATATATACCCCAACATCACCTCTGTAAAGGTTCATCCAGTAATGTCAATTTACCACTAGTCAGAAACGATCAACTGCAAGTTAAAAGCCAAATGCAAATGATATAATATTGGTATGAAAGGTTGAAAAGTCCCTTTCCAATGCTCGTCCCGTGTTGTTGATATATCCTGTGTATGATTTGACATGTGAGTTTGCTCGTGTCTCATACGTATGGTTGTAGCCAAGTCACCATCCCCACTCTCCAAAAGACACTGCGTCCTGAAATCCCGGACAATTTCATGCTTTGGATTGTTTGCTTATACTATTTCAACCTTCTAGTCGAAAGGAAACCAACCTAATGTCTTACCGTTCCCGAGAAAAGACGAAAACAAAAATGGTTGTGTACATCGGACACGACGGAGTACACATAAGTTGTTCCTGTCATTTTCATCCCATGCACGAAACAAGTCACACAAAATATTACACACAGCACCAATGCACAAAATGTGGTTTTTTTACACATCCGCAAAAGGCGAACACTTTTACGGCTGAAAATCACCACTAGTATGAACAGTCCGATGATTGGGAGTCAGAAAAGTGGACCCCGAAATTCTTTCTCGCATGAAATCACAAAAAGACGCCAAAGTTTATAAAGGAAGGTTGTGTGGTTGGTTTATATCTTACTTTTAAATGTTCTTTCCGATTAACATTCACGAGTCAAGTGACCAGTTGTTTTCCAAAATCCAAAATGTGTGTCAAAGTAATGAATGAATCATAACGCTGCGCAGAAACTATTAATGCCGCCATTTCAAAACCTCTTGACGCTGTTTGCAATTTCTTTTCCTCTTAAGGTACCTGCGACCAGAAAAGGACGAGAATGATATGGGATCCGGCAACGGACAACTGGAAATTCATTTTCCCGCTGCCACAAGTTATCAATGGCTAGACGTAGTAGTATAGATACTATTTCTGCATTTACTCCTTTATGGGTGATTTGTCAGTTTGAATGTCAGGTTTATAATTGAATTAATTGATTAATAATATAGAGTAGTAATAATAATTACGGGAAATGGGTCATTTGGGAGACATTCCCATTGACTTTTGCAAAACTTTTTCAAGCTTTAATGTGCCCTAACCCAATATTCCCTTGTCCTTGTCCACGAATTTCGGGATATTTACTAATTAGACCACGAGCGACACATATAATCTAATTGCGACAGCACAGTTTTGCCTCTAAAGGAGGGCTGTGACATTAGGGAGACATGAAAATGCCTCCCTAATGACCGATGTCTCCCATCGTGCGAAGAAATTACGATAACGTATTTCCTGAATGGTACCTTTACACGTATTATTATAACCAAAATTATACCATTCGGAGGCATTCCTATAGACTTGCGCGCAAATAATAATTCGACTTCCCTGACCCCTGACCCCAGTTTGCATTTCCCTCCATATTTTTTTGTATCACAATATGATCATTTAGGGTAACATTTTGTCTTATTCTCTTAAACGCTAATCAATTTAAATAATTACGCAGAACCATATCCAGACTAACCTTGCTCTTCAAATCCATTCACCATAAAATCGCAGTTGATGTTGATCAATGACAAGTTGATTCCAAAGGGGACACAATCTCAACAAGAAAATTACCTTCAATATCATTTGTTTACCCTGCCGACAGCTACAGATTATCTTTCCTACCAAGAACAACAGCTCAGTGGAACTTACTTCCTACAGAAGTCAGGGAAGCTACTTCAGTGGAGTCCTTTAAGTCAAGGCTCCATGAGATGCAGCTGTCTTCAACACTAAGGGGGCCTACTAACAAAATTGTATAGAGTTTTCGCCAGCCACCGGGCGCCTGCAACATAGTGCAGTTTGTTCGCAGCACGCTACAGATAGGTGCAGGTTTTTATACACGTTGAGCATACGTCTCACAAATACATGTATAGTTGTATCGCACTAAGAACCAATCCAACAATTGTAGGTCAGTAAATTAAACAAAACAATTGTAATCTATCACAAATCTGGTGTCTTATAGTTCTTTCTTATAGTTCAATTACTGAATTCAAGTTGAATTCTGTGTTAGTTCGTCAATAAAATAGCGTGGCAGCTATTTCAAAATAAACGGACTTGTGTTTGTGACTTTTTGTTGTGTTTTATTGCAGAGGAAATTCAAGAACCTGTTAATCGAGCTTTCACTTTGTTAGCGAATTTTAGAGTAGGCCCCCTTAAATTCTTTGCGATTGTAACCAAACGGTTCTTCATTCATGTACACTCACCAATAGTCTAAGAGAACCGTCGCCATACTCCTTTCTTGTCTTAAATAATCAAAAGATTTTCGAACATCTACAGTGGCGGTGATGGACCGACTGGCTATAGTACATGTGATACATTCCATACTCGGTAAACAATTCTCGGTTTGGACTCGGTGGATATTTTTTTCTCTCTCTTTACTTCTGAATTCTTCTCAAAAGTATTGCTAGTGTCTTTTCCCTAGACATGCTTCAAAACCAGGCGCGGATCCAGAAGAAGGTTTTGGGTTCACCCCGGCTTTGTCTATTTATGTTTCATACAAATTCATAAAAATAACTCGAACCCGCTCCTCCCTGGTTCTGACACCCAACAAAAGTACAATGGAAATAATGTGCGCCTGTGCACAAAGTACGGACAGAGCCAGCTTGGTTTGTGGGTTTTTGTACACTATTCTGTAATATATAGTGTTAATAATCGTCGGATTTGAACAGCGCCCCATGGAAGATAGGGTACGAGCCCCCCCCCCCCCGCCCTTGACTTTTGGATATCAAGTGTCAAAAAAAAAAAAAATTCAGAATGTTTTGATGATGACCCCCCCCCCCCCCCCACCCTGCAAAAATTCCTGGATCCGCCCCTAGAATCATTTCTATACTCAATTTGAAAATGAACCCATTCTACTGTTTTGAGGGAAAAGACGATTGCATTTTGAGTGACTTCCATGTTAGGCCAGACAAAAAAGTCTCCGGTTTCTGGTATGGAGCTTGCCCAAAAATGGTGCGGCGACGCGGCTTTTTTTTTTTTTTTTTACCTGACTTTTTAGCTTCAAATGTCGGCTGATGACTGCAAATGGTGCCCGACTAAACTTAGTGCAAAATGTACGGGAGTCCAGAGAGTCCACATAAAGCTTCTTCTCGATCATACTCCCATCTAAAAACACGTTAAAATCGTGCTGCAGCAGGATTCCAGTCAAACCAGTGAATTTGGCGGTTTTAAGACATCATCTTTTATTGAAAAAAAAACTTTTTCATTTTGCCGACGCGCATGGCTACGGCGACGCACGCGCATACCAGAAACCGGAGACTTGTTTTTTTGGCCTTATCGAATAGGTCATTTTTTTACTGATGCGCCTCTATATCTAGTTATTTCATTACAAGATTGTCAATTACAAGAGTATCATGTATTATTTAGAAGTGTCATAGACAGAGGGCGTGATTTATTGCCATCTTTTTAATAAGTTAGGAATTAAATAAAAATACCTCACATTGCAAATTTTTTGAGACGTTGGTGGCAACAAACACACCGGTCCGTTTTGATTGTTTGCGTCATACTGAGCATGCGCGCTTTAGCTTAAACATATGTCGTAAACATTTGAAAAGATCCAGTGTATTTTCTCCGATTGGGTGCTAAAGAATTCAGTACAAAAACCAATTGTTTAAAAAACAAAGCTGGTGATAAAAAACGCCTTCGAACTAAGGCTACTAATGTCGTGCAGGCATGTGACTCTAAGGCGATGCAAAATTGCGTGTAGGTGGGGCAAGGAGGCTTATTGCGCATGCGTTACACTGTCAAATACACTGCCCATTTGGTCCAGTTACGTCACATGCACGTATTCCATAGGGGTGCAGACCAGTAAATCGGTCCGAAATTGCCTGCGCCGGCCAAATCGCAATTTGTGCAATGGAGTGTAGGCATCGTTTTTCAAAATGGCGATGGGCTTCAAGACTATTTTCAGGGGTGATCGTCTTCAGATTGAAATTTCTCCTAAAAGTCATCAGTTGACCCCCCGTAAATTGAACAGAAAATGAAAGATGATGAAATAAGCTTTAATTTGATGTGTGTCTCGAACACCTTGGAGAGTTGTGAGTATTTTTCACGAATTGTGAAGTGGGAGCATTTACCATTGGGGTCTATGGAAGTTTATTTACTGGTCTGCTACCTATAGTTTCAAAATGGCGCCTTCCATCGTTTGTAGTCAAAATGTTTGCGCAGACGCATTACATTCCACGACAGTGTTTTTTTAAGGGGGCGGAACCTGGGGGGGGGAGGCTGCGTTTCAAAAGGGGTCAGCAATGGCGGTTCCGCAACAAATGCGCCCAAAATCTCAATGGGGCCGATGAACCGTCGTCCGATCACAACAGTTTCGAGCGAACAGGGGGGGGGGGGGGGTAATTTGGGGTCGGAAGGAGCAAAAACTCAATTAACTCCCGTTGGGGGCGCCCTACAGTAAGGTAGCCGCAAACAGAGGGCTTGTTTTCAGGCCAGAAATCGCAGTCAGAGATTTTTTTTTTTGATGAAATATGAGTCATCCATCCTTCCTCGTGCCGTAGAAGTGTTTTGGGGATTTTTTTCAAAACCTCGCTTCTTTATAGGGTGCAGACCAGTATCGCGATTTGCATGCCCTCAAAATCTTCGGTATTTGAGCATGCTGTGGGCCATGAACTTGAGGGTTTGTAAAAAAATATGGGTGGAAGCCGTGCACAGGACTGGGAGCTTGCAGTTCAGTGTAAATTGGATGTAATTTGGACCCTAAAAGCGCTCTATTTTGCAATGGAGTGTAGGCATCTTTTTCAAAATGGCGATGGGCTTCAGGACTATTTTCAGGGGTGATCGTCTTCAGATTGAAATTTCTCCTAAAAGTCATCAGTTGACTTCCCGTAAATTGAACAGAAAATGAAAGATGATGAAATAAGCTTTAATTTGATGTGTGTCTCGAACACCTTGGAGAGTTGTGAGTATTTTTCCCGAATTTTTGAAGTGGGAGCATTTACCATTGGGGTCTATGGAAGTTTATTTACTGGTCTGCTACCATAGTCCCATTGAAAAGAGATCGCGGCCATTAACCAGTTTGTAGCAAAGTCACCAACAACCATCCCCCAGTCATAATCGCCGTGTAAAAGTTCAGCGCGCATGCTCCATTGCAGAGATCAGTCTGGCAGCAGTGGACGCAAACCTCCATTTTCTCCAGCGGGTAGCAGTAATTGATGCATTGAGAACCGCAGGTCCGCGCCACGGACTGGACGTAGTCGGCTTGGTCCTGGTACTCGGGTCCTCGGGTCACTTCGGTTTTCTGGGAACCCAACCGAATAGAGTAAAATGGAAATTGTTTGTCTAGTTATGTCTTGCGTCCAAGCGCAGCAGATAAGAAGTGTACAGCCTAAAGGAGCAGACATTTGTATGCATGTATAAAGGTACAGTAACAAGTTTTAATTTGTGCATTGTTTTTGTTTGAACCATCAAAAGTGCTCAAAATCTAAAGACAGATGTTGAATAAAAAACGTGATGATGTATATTGCGAGAAAACAAAGCAAACATAAACACAATGTGTTAGATCTCGATTCAAATCCAAAGTTGCCCAGTCATAATTCGAATTGCGCCCTCTCGAAATCAGCATTCGGGACATGATTCCCATTCTGTCATCCGGGTGTCACCCATTCACGGATACACCAAGTTGCGAACCAACAATGCATGGGGTTCACAGAAATGACCTTATTTTTTTTTTCTTCTAAAAGACGGCATGCCATAGGAAACAATAAGCCTCTGTACTGATGACATCACGCTTTGTTTACATGTGCACTTTCCCATAGGCAGGTACACACGTAAACAAAGCGTGACGTCAGCAGTACAGATGCTTATGTCACAGAGAGTTTGGTGTGATTTCTAACTTTAAACCAAGTAAGACTTTCACTTTGCTTTGTTGTAAGAAATTCGCCCTATCCAACCGCCCTATGCACTGTCGCTCGTGATCGCATAACCCATTCTCAAAAATAAGTGGTGGAAAATGCGTTCGTTTGAAAGCCTACCAAACCAATTTACGTGCATTTCTTGAAAGAATAAAAAAAAATAGAAACTTGATTGTGTACTCACAATGCAGTATTTATCACAACTGGCGTCGCTATAGGAAACGTTGCCAGTGAGGTCAGTACTGTCTACGCCTGACGTCACCTCGGCACAGTAGTCGGTGCCAGGACCATCCAAGCTGTCACAAACATGACATCTGAGGGCGCTGCTTATACCTGAAAATCACACGGAGTCGTATAACTCAGCAGGGAGGGGACTCGTCACGAGTATGCCCGGGAATGAGCCTTTTAGGGATAATGGTGGTGTGATAGGGGGATATTTTGGAGTAACCATACACTTTTGTTTTGATACACTCTCAAATCTAACGAGCTAACCCTCCTAGTACCTGTTATTATAATATTTTAAAGAGGTTGTGGAATGCTCGAAGACATTTCCGTCATTTTTCGGGTATATGTAGCCTAAGGTGTGATGAAATAAAAACGACTATTGGTTCTGTCATGAAATGAGTACAAAAGGTACTTTTGAGAGCTGTTTTTCAGGTCCAGTTTCGACCCGAACGTGCAACTGTGTAAAAGTCGTCGTTGCGGGCAGCAAACAAAACACAGTAAATCGTGACGTAATAAACAGGACTCCCGATGCACAGTAGCATACACGAGTCCTGTTTATTACGTCACGATTTACTGTGTTTTGTTTGCTGCCCGCAACGACGACTTTTACACAGTTGCACGTTCGGGTCGAAACTGGACCTGAAAAAAACAGCTCTCAAAAGTACCCTTTGTACTCATTTCATGACAGAAACAATAGTCGTTTTTATTTCATCACACCTTAGGCTACATATACCCGAAAAATGACGGAAATGTCTTCGAGCATTCCACAACCTCTTTAAAAGGCTAATTGCAGTGAGCAAATAAGAAAAAAACAGAGAAATAGGAGTCGTGGTTAACAAAACGTCTTGGTCTGTACAAACAAAACTAACTATTAAAAAAAAGCTTCAAGGTTAAGTCAAGATATCAATTATCAAGATATAGCCCCATCAATAGGGTTTTCAAAACCAAGGTATTGTTCTACAGATTTTTTGGGCTACACAAATTAAGATGCCTTAGTTTAAATTACGCCGAGCCCATTTTAGTGTAACAGTTTAACCCTAAAGGGGCCGGGGGGGGCGGAATCCGCCCCCCCCCTCAACATTTTCCGTGATAGCTTCTAAAAAAACTTTTTTCGCGACCCGAGCTGTTATGACTTTTTAGCCTCGAGCTTTGCGCATCTTTTGATACCAAAAACATAAAAATCGGACCACGGGTTGCCGCGTAGCGAAATTTTTTTCGGCGCTACGCGCCGTGAAAACTGAATTTTCGCATATACGTCGTGTACACAGAGCAGAATTGCCATTCGTACATATGAATAATTAATTAGCCATAATTCCAAAACCCTTTGACCTATAGTCATGAAATTTCTTGGGTATGTTTAGGAAGAGTTGCTCTATGCATGTGCCGAGTTTCAAAATTTTTCGTCACTCGATGGCCGAGATCTTAGGGGGGGGGGGCGGAATCCGCCCCCCCCCCCCCCCCCCCCCCCGGCTGAGAGATGGTCAAAATAACCCGGCCCCTTTAGGGTTAAGCCATGTTAGAGCGTGCATGCGTACGGACGACTGTGATCAGCAACCATATCAACATCTGATCAACTGATCAAGGACACGGTACAGTCTGTCATGTCAACTTAACAAATAACCAACTAGTTTAAATTGTAATCCATTTTAATGTTGCGTCATGTAGAGTGTGCATGTGTGCAGACGACTGTGATCACCCATATCAACATCTGATCAACTGATCAAGGTACTTAGTCCGCCATGTCAACTTACCAACTAACTGAAGGGCGAACAAAGCCAAGAAGCAAAGGCGTGTCGCCATCTTCTTTTCATACAACGACTGGCCGTCCAGAATGACAACCAAAACGGTTTCAAGTCTCACGTCAAGGCATTTATGAATCGGCTGAAAGACGTCCATAAATTCTCAATATAACCTATATCGAGGAAAGTTTACAGTCTTCCATTGGTAGTGCGTGAGTCTTATTGTCCACGTATTCCAATCGATGGAGGAAGGTACCGCATTTAGAATCGTCCCATTAACAATTCATGATTCCCATTGATCGCGTTCGTCCCTCATTTTGCTTCTCACAGAGAGGCTATTTGACATCTATATCAACATGAACAATGAGCTTTATGCCCGTTCGCAACTTTTGTTATTATTATTTTTTTTTTTTTTTTTTTTTTTTTTTTTTTTGGGGGGGGGGGGGGGGGTAACGTAATACTTGAACATGCAACCTGCAGCACTTGGACTCCCGCACCTTGACTGTATAACACAATAAAGCCACGCTAGTCGCCGTGGAACTTCAACTCTAAGAAGTTATTTAATATTCGGTGAACATTTAATTATTCACATGATATGTTTCACGCATACGTATTACGGTAAATGACCGTTTTACTAGCCTGCAACAAAACAAAATGATAAGCTGCCAGCTCTAATGTAGTTCTGGGTTCGAAATCGTGTGTTCCTGTTCTCCGATAGGCTGCAATTCGTATCCTCTTGGTCCACGAAGTTACTGACAAAAGTGCGCCCTCACGTGACTGGTTTGGACCATTTTATTGAAACTAGCAACAATAACTGACAGCGGATCGAAACATGCTGTGAGAGGGCACACTTTGGCATTTTGCCAACAAGTAGTTATCAAAGTGTGAGCGGCAAACGTTACAAAGCAAAACATTACATGACTAACATATAATCAAACTGAGGTTGCAATAAAGTGGTGTTAAAAAACCTTAGGCCAAAAAAAGGCTCCGGTTTCTGGTCTGCGCGCGCTTGGCCGTAGCCATGCACGTCGGCAAAACTAAAACAGTTTTTTAATGATGGTGTCTCAAAACCGCCAAACTCACTTGTTTGACTGGAATCCTGCTGGCGCACAATTTTGTTTTTATATGGGGTTACGATCGAGTATAAGCTTTATGTGGCCTTTCTGGGCTCCCATACATTTTTTACTAAATTTAGTCGGGCACCATTTGCGGTCATCAGCCGACATTTGAAAGAAGAAAAAAAAAGTACAAAAAAAAACGCGTCGCCGCACCACTTTTGCGGCAAGCTCCATACCAGAAACCGAAGAGATTTTAGGGCATTATAGAGACCAGAGATTAAAACGGAGTCTTGTTTTGATCAGTTGGGAGGGTATCCCTGACGTCACCGCATCAACTCTGGATGGACCAATCAATTATGATAATCCCATGGTTATCCCTGGCCCCTTGAAACCCGTCAATAAGCTTATCTCGGGCGTTTCAATAGTGCGTTTCTATAGTGGGGTAACATCTTTTCACCTTCCCAAATCGAAAACAATGCCTGAGAAAGACGGTTGTTTGAAGCTGGACAACCGAAATGTTGGGGAAACAATTTGATCTTAATACAGATCAATACCCAGTATTTGACAAGCAACGGTTCCAGGTTGCGATTTTTTAACGCGCCGGTGAAGCCTGCCGCGATAAACACAACATTAGAAGCCCCTGACCGAGCTTAACAGTCCATCGACGTTAACTTACCGGCCGTATTATTAGCCGCTAGATAATTCTTCAACTCTGTTTATTTGTGCAAAAAAGAGGGTGGCGTTCCTCTTTCACACCGACGAAAGTTGCTTTTTTTCTAAGCCAATGTCTCTTTTTTGGTGATGCCCCCAGTTTTAAGAACGTTTCGCCGCCACCAATTGGCGTATTACATGTGCAGGTACGCTGTTAGTAAAAAATAAAATACACTCACTTGTTAAGTACACAATACGACCCTAATTGAGATCGTTCAGTCGCCAAAGGTTCATTGATTTGCTTTGTTTCATCTCAAAGGCCTTTTGTTGACCGTGAATCGTCAGTCACATAGACTTGAGTCAAGGCGCATGATGGCAACCCAGACACGAAAAAAAAAGAGAGAAAAATGCAAGTGGCAGGCTCGTTGGCTCCATGCGCCGTCATCAGGGGCGTAATTACCGGGTTGGGGTGGGGTGGGGGTATATACCCCTCACACTTTTGGACTTGGTTATTTTATCATCCCCCACTTTGTAGTGATGAGGAAAAAACTGAAGATTTTGAGGTATTTTTCGATTGTCCCAGCAACTAAAATGTATTCAATAGCACTGAAAAGTGGAGAAACAAAGTACAATATTTTATTAAAATATGTATTATAATGGCATCATTCCCTAGACTTAGCGCAAGTACAAGAAAAGATGAATTTTCCCCAGCTAGCTAAGGGAACTGAATTAGAATGAGACAAACAAAATTCCCTCGTAAATAGTTTGTAAACGGGTCAGTAGTTTGATATCAATATAATGAGGTAGGGGAAACTTGCTAGAATTTCACTCAATCAGTGCGATATGCCAGTGCCGGCCGAAAGACGCGCGACGCAAAACAATTGATGAGACAGAATCAGGACGAGCTTGGTAAGGTTAATTGTTCGTTGTGACTCTGAATAGTCAACTGCTCGGAACATAAGAATGATTGTAGAAAAGAGTTACGTAACAGCATTCATGCGTAGGCTATAGCGCGATGCTGATGCATCTTTCGTGCAGCTATGAAACACAAAGTAACACTCCCACTGCGGAAATAAGGATCATGTTTTAAAAGCAAACAGAAAAGCACCTACTGAAACAGCCTAGTTGTTAAGCTGTCTGACAGCGGACCCAGGGGTTTGGGGTTCGAAACCGCTTGGTACCGTTTTTGGTTTTCGATGCCCGCTGTTCTGTCATTTAAGAGTATTAATTTCCCGTCGTCATTTACCAACAGCAGTTAGCTCGGTCGGTCGGTAAGCTGACTCACAAGTTGGGACTGTCTGCGAAGTCCAGGTTGGCATCTGCGTATAGGTACGGGGTTCTTTTGCTGACTCGGCAGCAAGGCTTAGGGTGCCACCTCGTTTCCTCCCTTTATGGTGCCTGACTTTCGAGTTACATGGATGGACAGGGAAGGAGGTGTGGTGGTCCCAGAAGAGTTCTATATGGAAGTCGGTAAGGGGCTCATTGAGTTAGGGTCATAAGTCCGACTCCTGAAGACTTGGCTATCGCCACATAACTTTTTGTTTTATTTTCTTTCTTTTATATCACGGGACAATTGCAAGAATGATTCATTTGTTATATTGAGAGCTTGTACTGCAATCGTTCGAAATTAATTTTTAAAATTGCTCGAAAATACAAAATTCAATCCAGCTATTAAGTTTGTATTTCATTGTCGCAAAACTGCATGTACATGCTCAGTACCAAGTTACGCATACCTTGTTCAGGCCTGTTCCCTGATCCCAGACTGCATGGGGGTCTTTAAATTATTATTATTATTATTATTTATTCAACCCAAACAACATTACAAGATTACCACACAAACACGGAATGGGAAAATACAAAGGCATAGGCCTAAACACTCAAATGAAAAAAAAAATATGACCAGAAAACAAACAAAAAGAAAAACAATTATATATACATGGAATGGTGGAATTTGTTTTTATATGCGTGCGCGAAGCCCTGAAGGCGTGGGGTCCGGGGACGCTTAAGAGCCCCGGGAAATGTTTGGATTGCAGATGCTCTGTGGCGCAAATATCAAAATTGTAGCTGGACTCTCTATCATTTTTTGAGTCGTCACTAGTAAGAATCAGCTCAATTCGTAACTGCCTGCGAGCAAGCACGTGCTGGTGTTTTGCATGGCTGTAGCTGTCAATCCCCGTATATGAAGCGACTTCGCGCGGCAGCTTGTGCCGACATGACAGCTAGAATGTACATGTACAATCTTTTGCCATGGGTTGCAGAACCTGATTTTGGATTCGGGGAGTTTTGAGCAGCGGTGTTTATTATTTACATTCTCCACTTTGTTCCCTCTTCCTTTCCCCTTCCTTCTCCATTCTTGGGAACTCTGGTGCCTAGGGTCTACGAAAAACGTCCGATCCGGGCCTGCATGTAACACAGTCGTACGTAATGGGATATGCTGATCGAGTCGAGGTGAACGCCCGAATTGGGGTCAGCATTCAATAATGGCAGAATAATCATATTCCTGGTTATAACACGGACCAGTGAACTTGCTCCCCCGGACTCCCAAATCTGAGGAGTCCTTTATACATGTACATGTACACTTTGTACTGTGTTGTCATCGGGAAACAGTAGACTTACGTGTACATGTACATGTACATGTACATGTACATTGTATTGGTGTCATCATGGATCGAAAAAAGCAAAAGAGTAGCTGATGACGCGTGGGTTGCAAAGAGCTCAAGTTAACTCAAGTATAGCATAGCAACTGACTATTGTGGAGGCCTCCTCAAGACTAGGGGGGGGGAGGGGCACATCGGGCCGTCCCCATCCCAATGTCATGTATGTCACGGTGCATGTACATGTATAGTGTACATGTATTAGGTCATCAACCTGGGGGTTTGGTCGGTATCAAATAATGCTCATTGTAGTCCGAAAATGTGATAGCATTGCAGCGGGGGCAGCTTTTTGCCTGCTATTGCTGTTTAAACAAAATTGGCGGCCGAAACATGCTTGTTACCACATTGTACATGTTCATGTATAATTAATAAGGTAACAAGCACATTGGCGGCCATTTTGAAAAAAAAAAGTTGATAACACCCCAACAAAACTGCCACCGCTCACACTGCAAAGCTATCACGCAGTGTCCAACTCTAGATGTGCAAATCGCTATGACTTATTGCCCCTTTCAATCATTTGATACCGGTGGCCCAATTTTTGGACCCAGCCTATATTCAGACAAAATTACACGGTTAAATGCATCAGAGCCCATGGGGAACCGAGATGTTTTGGTGTTCTCTGGACACGGTTACATCATGTCAACCCGACAACGACGCTGAATAAAGGAGCAATGACGCAGGCGCGGATCCAGAGGGTCGAGGGTAAACAAAAACACAACCCCAAATTCTGTCAAAAAAAATAATTTCCCTATATATTCATGCAATAAAATGAGAACCCCCCCCCCTTGCTCTGACACCCATTTTGTTTACTAGTAATAATGTCCGTCTTTGCAAAAAAAAGCGGACAGAGCCAGCTTGGTTAGGGGTATATGTACAGAACACTATTAGGTGATATAGTGTTAATAA